TCATTTTTGGTAAAAAGTGATATTTTCGACTTCTTGTTGAAAACTGTAAGTCCGATTGCTTTGATATTACATATATAGGTACTACATGTGGACCTCTCTCAGATTTGTTCGTTTTGTGATGATATCTTCAATTCTCTAATTAATTTATTTTGGTGAATATTTTTGTAATTTTTGGTAAAAAGTGATATTTTCGACTTCTTGTTAAAAACTGTAAGTCCGATTGCTTTGATACTATTCATATTGTTCATTTTCTAATGATGTCTTCAGTTCTTTAATTGAAATGTGCATTGCTAACAGCGGAGCTATCTCAGCCGATAGGCTGCTTGTTTGAAATACTGAGGACCAAAGAAACACAGTCAGGTGAATCTTTGTGAATTGTGGGACAAAAGTGTTTAGCACATATTTGAAAATATAAAAATAGTGTTAGTGAAGGAAATTCAACAATTGTCTGGGTAGCTGAAATTGAATGTTTGATACATAATTCCCGTAAATTCTAACCATCACATAATAATCCAAAGACCCCAATACAGCTATAGGTATGATCTTAGAGTGCATATTCAGACCATCAAATATTTCAATCACTGCAGAGCACCCAAACTGATTACCGATATGCAATGTAAACAACATATACTGCCTTCTAGGTTGATTGGTGATATGAGTTGTGAAGTTAGAGAAACTGATAAGACATTTACTAAACCTGGAGGACCACCAACATTTGCAGCAGCTGCTGCCTCTGGAAATAGGACAGAAGGTACAACAGAAAGAAATGTTGTAGAAGGTATTTGTGCTAAATATCATTCCATATCATGGTTTGGGTGTCGTTCATTCAGATTTCTCAGATTTTGTCATTAGATTTTGTTAGTACCGTACTCATATTGATTGAATAACATTTGACCTCCCATACTTGTGGCCATTTTCGTCCTGAAAAACATGATTTAAACTTAGTATGAACATATTCACACATTTTTTTTACTATAAATATTTATAAATTTCAATGGTAGTTGAACCAGCCAATTACAATGCAGTGTTCAATGACATCTAGCCCTTATTATAACATGTGTGAGTTGAGTCAATCACATGAATGGCTTCAGATCACATGGGCATCAATGAAATATTAGAAAATGTTATTTCATCAGCCAATAGAAATCTCTTGGTTTAGAATGGGTTTGTGGTTGCAATAGTTATGCAGTTATGTATGTGTTCTTGCACATCAATGAAAGTTCATGTCACAATCCAAGCCTTGCACAACAATTCAACCCACCCAATATGAATGAATTTACCTCGATCACTTTGCAGAGGTTTCAGGCCAACACAATACAGTTATTTCATCAAAGATTTCTTACTTTTTAGATTACACTGAAGGTCTTGATGAAGGCACATGTGCAACAGCTGATCTTCTGGTGGCTGCACGCGAGAACACGCCAACACAGGACATGCTCAAACTAGATGACGACAATGAATTTCCACCTATGACTCACGATGTTCCATGATTACTCCTTAGAATATCAGTGATTTCTTTTTAGATGATATATAAAAATGCGTCAAAATTTCATGTTTTTTTTGTCAATCGCTTTTATTGCTTTTATCACAAGTCTGACTGAATTTTAAAGTCTTTATGATGGAAAACAATCCATCACTTTCAAGCAATTGTGTTTCAAGAAACTACTGCAACCTTGTACATTCTCATAAAGGGTAGGAGGGGGTGCAAGCAGTGACAGAGTTATGTATATTGGGAGGGGAAGCACGACTAATTTGTGGGAATTCTTTTGTACTGTAGCTTAGTACATGTATATTATGGCAGTGGTATTTTAGTGTAAATGCAAAACTGTGTTTATGGTTGATGTCATGCCATTTTGAATTTGTCCAAAAGTGTAAAGGTACAAATAAATTTTCAGGTTCAATGTCGTTGTGTGTTTGCATCCATTTCCCTTTCCATTGTAGTATTTTTCAGTTCCGGTGTCGACTTTGTCGAGCAGAGCTTATCATATGAGTGATTGTCTGGTGTCAACTTTTTCGACTTCTTCTTGAAAATTACAATTCTTATTGCTTTAATACATGGTGTATATGTAGACCTCTCTCAGATCTTAATAGTAGTTTATAAATAAATAAACGCTGCT